CGTGTGGGTTCCGAGCCCCATTGTGCATGGGTGAGGGAGAATGGACCCACAGCCACCTAATAATATGAGGTTTATTTTGGGTTTTTTCCTTCGAAGTCGGAGTGCATCTGCCTGAGAGGCAAGAAACTAACAGTCTGTACACAAGTCGGATCTGTAAAACGGATGTGCATAAAAAATTCAGGTTCTAGATCAAACTCAAAGTAAAGAAGTGGACGAACGACCAAAACTTTCCGCCTGAGTTTACAGCTGGTGAAATCTGAGAATAAGAAAAGCAGCTAAATTATGGGTAGCAACTTTCACGCTGACATAGAGAATAGGGAAACTTGCAATGTTAACATCGTGGCTCACCACAGATGAAACGACAGTCACTCGTACCTTTTATTGAGATATAATATCCACTCATTCAATGTCAGCCACTAGTACTTTTAAACAGCAAAGCCATGTGTGAAAGGTGAATGAAATTTATTAGGCATGTTAACGTTGAATGTTGAATTAGGAATTGACGTCACAATACTCGATACACTTCCATAAGTGCTCCGTCTCCCATCTTCAGCAACAAGCGAAAAGTTCCAATTCCAATGGTACCAGTAAATGTCTGATTGTTCAGCCGTCTCGCCTTTACCTTGACTGTTGAGCTTTGGCCAGATCCCCTGGTGACTCCCTGTCGCGCCGTCTCCTCAGATCGTAATGATCTGTTTATGCCTCTGCACTGTTCACTCGCTCCCAAGGGACCCTCACAACATCAAATTTGTCATACATCAATTCACCACTAAGTGGCGCAGAACTGGCCAGTATATCTGGCTACTCGTTTCCCAACACACTAGCATTACCAGGAGCAAATATATAAAGGGAGATAACTACCGAGGACCTATGAAGCAATGCTTGCCACTCTGCATGCAGCATGCTTGTTTTCACCTTTCTCAACAAGCTCTGTGAGTCAGTTACAATTACGACAGTTCACAATTGTGAACGTGTGTGTGTGTGTGGCGGGAGCTAAATTTCCGCAAGACCTGACCTTGCTATGTCACTAAAGCTACCTACCCTACCCCGTTAACATGATTCGACTATTACAAGGTCTACCAGTGGGCTACAGCCCACCGACTGAAGAACGCTGGATTACATGAAAGGAAAGGTATGCAACCTGTGTTGTAATAATAACTGGTTCGGGGAAGTAACTCTCAACACTATCGTCTGCAGCATGGAGTATAGGCATATGGAGCAGGCGTCTCCTCCCCCCCGAATGCATTTTGGACTTTGGACTGAAATCTACAATGTTGCTGTTGAGTATCGGCTCGAATGTTGCGTCAGCATATTGTTTACGTTTCTACTTTTGATATTTTAAAGATATTATATGTAGCTATTTATATATTTGATGCAAGAACAAAACTATACTAATAGTATAAAAATAAAACGTGTAGTCAGCTAGGCCGGAATAGAATATCTAAACAGCCGCTTACGGTATTCGGCAGGATTTCTCATCTGTAAAAATAAAAATGTTACATTTCTACATTACATCTGTAATGAATTATAAGTAATTCTTAGATTTTTATCTTGGCAAATTATTATGTTGTCGATCATAATAAATGCAATGTTAAAGTACCACCATCAGTTTCCACTTTCTGCTGCTAAGTAAGCGTTGTGGAGAGGAACAGTTTGAGTTTGCAATCCATTGCTTGATGGGCAGCAATGTCTACTGTCATTCCGTGTCGATGTAAGTAAAGTAAAGTAAAGATCCCTTTACACGCCCTTAGGCGCATCGGGCATACGGGAAGAGCACCTATATTTTTACAGACCAATCAGCACTCGGTGGGTAATGTGGTCAGCATTACGCCGGCCGTCTTTACTTCCCAGGACAGCCCATCCTGGTACCCATTTGAGGCTGGGTCGACCTGCGACGTCCCATACCACGATAAAAATCCACGCAGCCCACGCATAGAAGCTTTGTAATGTCATCAGTCCATCTTCTCCTAATCCGACCTCTTGCTTTCACTTCAGAGCTGTTTATGTGTAGCACCAGCATTGGTAGTTGTTCTGGGTGCATTCTTGCTAAATGACCAAACCATTTGACCTTCTGTTTCTCAATGAATGTGCTGCATGGTGTTGTTCCTATAGTCTGTCTGATAATATCATTTCTTACATTGTCTTGGATGGTTAAGTTGGTGGCTTTTCTCAGGCATCTCATTTCACAGGTGTTAATTGTACAAAGGTTAGTCTTTGATAATGTCCAAGTCTGGCACTGGTAGCACATTGTTGGTATGAATATGCAGTTATAATCTGTTTCTTGGCACTCATACTTATGTTTGGATGTCTTAATAACAGTGTCAGTTTGTATGTAAGTGCACTGGTTCATTGGCATCTTGTTTCTATTTCCCGATCTATTCTTCCATCCTCTGAGAATATACTTCCAAGATATTTAAATTCTTTAACTTGCTTTGAACATGTTCCATTCAACACATTATGCAGCGAATTAGGAATTTGCTGACATGCATTGCTTCAGTTTTGGTAGTATTTTCATGTTATATCTCCTGCAAGTTGAACTTGGCCTGTTCAAGTGTTCTTGAAGTCTATTCCCCTCATTGTAGAACAGACACTGGTCATCTGCAAATATTAGCTCATTTATTGTGTGGATCTAATTCTTCCTCTGGAAAGTAAAGTTCCTTATTTTCTGGGTGAACTGCTTTAAAGCTGGCTTCTTTGGATATTCTGTCATTGTATATATTAAATAAGAGAGGAGATAGCACACATAATATGAATGTATGAATATGTAAAATAAGAATAAGTAAAAAGCATACCTAAATTTTCATCTAAGAATTTTTTTGGGGGGTTATCTTTATTCTTTATTGTTTTTGATCAACGTTTTTACAAGTATTTATGATGATTTATTCATTTAAAATGCTGACTGTTAGACTCTTACCTAAACAAGTTATCTTTTGATTAAAGTTAGCGGTCAGTCATGGTTTATGCTCTATGATTATGAATAGTATAATTAAATCATTTGTAGATTTTCATCTCAATAAATTATCTTGTTATATATCATCAGCTGTCTCAGCAATCTGCTGTGAATTAATGAAGTCGTGCTTGAATTTTTATATAGACAGATCATTTTATGTAGCAGTGATGCAATCATCAGCATCACCAGTTAGGGGAAACAGTTTATTATTAACAAAAAAAATTAGCTGATAGTAAATATTGTGATATAATGTTTGCGTGAATGAACAAATTAAGAATTGACATCACTTCACTGGGGGAGTCGACGCGGCGTAGCGGCTAGACGCTCGTGTGCGGATCAGAAGGTCGTAGGTTCGCTCCCTGGTGGAGCCAGACTTTTTTCAAAAATAACCTTGACTCCCAGGTCGACCTAGCCTTGAGTGGGTACTGGGTGCAGTCCCTGGAAGTAAAGGCGGCCAGCTTGATGCTCACCACATCACCCATCTTGTGCTGATTGGTCTATAAAAATATAGGTCTTGCCCTATATGCCCTTTACGTCTAAAGGCGTGGAAAAGTGACCTTTCCTTTTTACTTTTACTTATCACTACAGTCGGGAAATGTCTGTGCATGTTCTATCCCTTTTCAGAAGCCAATTAAAAGCTTTTATTCTGATGCTACCAGTTGCGACATGCTTAACGGAAACGCCTGCTGTATTTTATCCCCTGTGCAGTAAATGTCATCCAGACCCTCTTCTTGTCCATAGCTGAATCAGTGTTGCCTGGTCAAGGTCTATTCAGCTGCACTATCTACTTAATCCCAGTCATCATCTACTCCACTATCATAAAATAGTTCATTACTCAGAGGAGCACTAGCAGTTAGTCCATCAGCCCGGTTATTTTCTCAAATACTCACATTTACTAGAGAATAAAATCACTGCATTTACCTAATCTAAGTCTTATCAAGCAGTATGAGTCAGGAGTAATAATACGGATAGCATACCTGTGTTTTGTTTTCCTGCAGCAGATTCTTTGAGTAGATTACAAATACAGCATATTGAGCTGTTCACCATAGGAGAGCTGCCAATACTGTCTTCATTGTCGTGCCATAGTAAGAGAGGTGTTAGTGAGAATCTCTTGGCTGAACGATCAAGAATGTTAAACTTTCATGCAGGAGACCCAGGTTAAAATCCCCAGCCAGGTTGTGTATTTGTTCTGTGGGGGGCACAAATAAAATCCTAAACCTGCACAGACCATGACTACAGCAGCCCTAAATCTTCAGGCTGTGAGTCAGTTTTGAGCATATATACATATAAATGTTTAATCCAATAATTGTGTGGGGAAAAAAAAAGCTAACCTCTTCAGCTTGATGACATAGAAGACACATAGCCAATGACCCATATTTTGAAAATTCTCAGAAAAAAATTGTCTTAAAAATTCAATAATTTTACACATGTTACAAATAAATTCTTAAAATTCCATTTATGGACCAAAAGCATATTAATTTCCATACAAAATAAGGGAAATCATAAGTAAACACAAATGCTACAGAGAATAAACTGACTTATCTTCTTTTTTTTTTTCACTATAAAATTTGTACAGTGACTCACACTTGATACCCTAACCTGCTTGCCTTAGTTTGGGAATTTGTCACTGTAACTTCTATTGAAAAAAAATACGGTTTCTTCCCCCTCCCTGCAGTGCCATTTATTTTTATTAAGATAATCAATTCTGATCCTCAAATGTTTGCACAGCTGCAAACAGTATCATGCTATTAAACTTCTCGTCAACTGGCCACTATAGCAAGTCGGTAACGTGACATTTACAGGGGATCAGACTCAACCGGAAGTGTCAGTTTTTTGGCTTTATGATGCTACAGGTTTAAAGAAAGATAGCCTTGCAATATTGACAGCATTATAAAAAAAGATTCAGTTTGTTTATATTTATAGTATAATGGTTATTTAATTGTTAGTTAAGTATTTTCTGGTTTTCCCTCATATTAATTGTAATCCTGTTTTGCCAACAGCCAGTGATGCTTTTTTAGCCAGTAAAGCAATAAAGTAAAGTTCCTCCATCATGTCTGAATATGAAGCAGTTTTGGAGCAGATAAAAGCCTTTGGTCCGTTCCAAGTACGGACTTTTATTTTAGTTTCACTTTTTGAAGCACCTTTGGCATGGGCAATGCTGGTTCCTATGTTTACGGCTGACAAGCCAAGATTCTTCTGCACGACTCCACAAGCAAACAATCAATCATCAGAGTTGACAGATTTGAACAACACATATATGCAGGAGCCTGAGGTCTGCAGTGCTAACAGCAGTACTTGTCTGGGGATTGAATTTGATTCAGAGTTTACTTCCATTGTGTCTGAGGTATGATTTAATACAAAATATAACATTTGATATTTTATTTTATTCAACAGTCTTATGAAATTACGGCCTTATAAGATTACCCAGAAATAAGTCAGTCAGAGAGAAGAATCTGTCCTAAATAAGCGATTGTTCACAACTAGCTATGAGAAGCCCCAGCAAAGACCTTAAGTGCACCATATTGTTCTTGACCCTTGTTGAAATATATTCATAGCAAGTTTGAATGCTGTAGGTAAAAGAATAGGCATATGATGACATTCTATATCTAGTAGTATTTTATGGACTTGAAACATTTAAGTCATCGAGCTCATTGCCTGAGTGAAAGTTTATTCTATAGTTTTTCCTGTTGGACATTAGATGAAGTCATTTGATGTAATACCCAAAGCCCACCTAAGCTGATGGATCTGCCAGTCGCTCTATTCTCAGCTGAATCCTGGCTAGCACACACTACTAGAGCAGACTATTTAGCAACAGCTGGGAGCTATACAGAACAACCAGATGCAGATTGCACTTATGAGAGAAGTAATACTCAGGTCAAGGCAGTCATTAGAACCCATTGGAACAATTCCATCCTGAACATAGTTCTGAAGACCCAGTTGCACTGCAGCCTTCATAGAGGCATGTGGCCTTCCTATCTGAAAACCACTGGTGGGGAGAATGGAAGACGAAGAAGATTCATTTCTAGTTACATTCTGTTATGCCTCTGTGCACATATGGAGTTCCAGTGCCCGACTGGCATACCCCACTGGTTTCTGAACGTAGAGAGAGAAAGGTTCTGTACAAACAATCTATGTGGTGATGCTTTGGCTGTATGCCAGGTGAAACGTTTACACCGACCTCTGATAGGTTCAAGGCCATTTTGGGACCTAGACAACCTGAATGACAATGCATCAGACTTTAGAATTAGTGTTCAGTCTTCTAGAGGATTCTAGACAAACAACCAGCAAACCATGGGGCATTCCCAGTAAAACATTCTCTGATGCAGCAGCCACCGCAAGATTCCTCCGCTGATTATTCCCAAACAAATTTTGCTATATGGCAAGATATCATCCTCATGCAGCAGGTCCTTTGCAGAACATTGCTCTCATCACAGTCTGCCTGAAAGAAACTCGGTCTCTCGCCAGTTCTCCCGCCTCATGCACTTTCATACTCAAGGAGTCACTTATATCCTGTGCCCATCTTCGTGTCGATCGGCCCCTGCCCCTTCTTCCTGGTACCATGCCTTCTGCTATAATTTTTTCCATCCGTCGTGGATATGCCAAGATAAGATAATGGAAATAGAAGTTCTGTTGATGACTGCCAAGATAAAGCTTGCCCAGTGTGCTTCACAAAGCTAAGCCCAGATGTGCTCATCTTGTCCAAAAAAGTTTCATTTAATAAAATTATATTTTCTCTGATTTATACTAAAATGAACAAATAAGTTCATTTTAGTATAAATCAGAGAAAACTGTGTTTAATTTGATAAAATATTTTAATTTCAGCTGTTACTGTTTTAATTTGTTAGTAATTCAAACAAAAATAGTTCTGTATCTTTTTATCATTGTTTGTGTATCTGCCTTAGTTCACTATTGTTGAAGTTAATCTTTTTCATATTATTTACCTTGCTTAACATTTGCCTTTGTTTATATTTTTAATGGAGTTTACCCATACCTCATTTTAACCTACCAAAGGATGAGATCATTGATATTACCCATTATCCATAATTATTGAAATGGAGAATGTGATGACTCATTAAAAAAAAAAAAATTTAATTGCGAAAAGAAGAATGATAGTTTTAATTAACCAGAACATCTAATGTGACACTCTGAATTATCTGCACATATAAATATAATAATTTGAACTGGACAGTGGCTTTTAAAAGTTTGTCAGCAACACTTATTTTAAACTTGAAAATTACTAAATTAACGGTGCCAGATTTTGCTAGCTCACTTTCACTTAAATAAAAGCCTGTAAAAGTGAGGTATGAGTGTATTTTCTTTCGGTATTACACTGTTCAAATTGATAAATTTTGATATCTATGAATATTTATAAATTTTGACATCTATGAATATTTCTTTCAGTGGCATCTGATCTGCAAAGACAGCTATGTTGGAGAGCTCATTACTTCCATTCAGATGGCTGGGGTATTGATCGGAGCACTGGTAACTGGACAGCTGGCAGACATCTTTGGCCGCAAGAAGGTTCTCTTTGCAGAGTATGCTCTGCTCATTGTCTTCTGGTTCTCCACAGCATTTGCTCAGACTTGGCAAGTTTATGCTGCGCTCAGATTTATTGTGGGAGGGCTTGTAGGGGGTGAGTTGATTCATATCCACATTAGTTTATATTGTGAGAGTGTACAAGATTTCTAGTACAAGCTGTAATATGAACTGAGCAAAGGTATGTTGATTTTGTAGAACTATGTTGACTCAAGTCATTCTTTTGTACGCCTTGAGAATACCGGTGAGGACCTGGTTTACTGAGGCTTATCAGGGAAGCTTCTTCAGCAATCGCTGGTCACGGCTTAATCCAGTGTGAGCCAGTAACTGGGAAGTCATCTCTAAGGCTTCCGCTTATTTTTCACGTTTCCTGGGAATAGCCACATGTTTTTTTTTTTGCATCTCCTAAATCTTCCTGACGTCATAAGACACAGCTACGAATGGTTGTTGCCAGGCTGGCTACGTCATCGTGTAAAATACAGCCATTTGTGAAAAAAGCCTGTAATGGGGCTTGGTGTGAGATGGCTGAGGTTATGTTTTATACTTAGAGATAAAAGACAGAAGAGAAATAGCTTGGTTTCTTTCCAGTAAGCAAATGGTTAAGAGTGCTGGGCTGTCATGCTGGAGACCCACGTTCGAATCCTCTGTAAGGTTAAGGATTGTTTTTTCTGTCAGGGGCGAAAATAAATTCTTAACCTGCACAGCCCATGGCTACTGCATTAGCCATGCAGCCCTAAATACTCAGGATCAAAGACCATTATAATGGTAAATGGTAAGGGCAGTTTTGTATTTGTTTGTCAGGCATGCATAGCACTGATTTCAAGGATGCTCATGAGCTCTCCATGTGGAAGTTAAAAAAATGTGAGTGCTGTCTACCATTATCATGAAAACTAACTGTATTCTTGCAATCTCAATGTACATTCTAGTTATCTGCAGACTTCCTCAGGTTTAAAATTATGTTCAGTCCTCCCTTCACTCACCACAAATGAGTTAAGGCAAATTATGACTAGAAAGTTAAGCCAGGCGGGAAAACATGCACAGATATAACGGAGTCTTTATCAACAACAACAAAAACAACAGTAAAAAAAATCCTTAACAACTGGCCCCAGAAAAGAGAGCCACGAAGGAAAGGCATGCAGCTACCCCTGCCTTCATTAACCCGACTAGTGTCAACCAGGATTTCTCTCAGAAAAATGAATGGAGATCTTATAATAAACCCTGATCATGGCACGTCAGTGCATCTGCATCTCTGACTGACTAGTTTTATTGGGCAATTTTACGTTCAGTGTGCATTAATGACTTGTGAAAAAAAAAAAAACTTTTATTGAAAATTTTTGAGAATTTAAATGATGCCCTAATGCTGCACTTTTATTTGTTGAATTTGTGCATTATTATTGCAGGTTGTCTTGTTGTAAATTTTGTTCTTCCACTGGAGTTTGTTACTCCCAAATGGCGAACATTTTGTGGCTGCATTGGGTTTTGGGCTGTAGGCCTCATGCTATTGGCACCTTGGGCATACTTTCTACGAGATTGGAGACTTCTCAACATTGCCATGGCATCTACAAGTTTAACCTTATTACCTTTATGGTGGTAAGAATGTACGATTATCTTATAACCTGCTTTTATGTTGTCTGTTATTTTAGAATGAATGGAACATGTTTTTTTATTCTTTGTATGCAAAAATTTTATTTTCAATGGTAACTTTAATTTTTAATTTTATCCAAGATATTTGTCCATGTTAAATATTAATAGTCCAGAATTTGTTTACTCTTTCCTAATTTGCTTTCAGCAATTTTTAAACAAGGAATTGTGGTTCTTAGCAGCCTGCATATGTCATGCCTCAATGGTTATTTATGTTCTGTAAATCTTCTTCTTCTTTTCTTCTTTGCGTTCACCGGCTGTTAACTCCGGCGGAAAGCTCAGGTTGTTCGTCCAATTCTGGACTGTAGTCCTGTTCCAGAACCTGAGTGTTGCGTGTGCACCCGTTTAACAGATCTGACTAATTTGTGTGCAGACTCTTGGTTCCTTGCCTCTCAGGCAGATGCACTCCGACTTCGAAGGAAGCTCCCAATTAGTCGACTCTTGCGACATGCTTTTGGGTGGGCAGTGGGTCTCTTCTTGTTTTCCCTGTAATAGGGCCCCAGAACCCACACAGGGATGTTCTGTAAATGAAAAACAATTACTAAAAAACTACAGACATTTATTAACGGGTATCAACGCAGAATAGAGGGAATTCAATGGCATGATAGAATCACTAATGTAGAGCTTTAGGAAAGAACTAAACAAGTTCCAGTGGACCAAGAGGTAAAGAAAACACCCTGGTGTTAGATAGGACACATGTTGAGAAAACTTAAAAGCAATATAACTAGAATATCTTTGCACTCGAAGCCACAGGGGCATAGAAATAATGGAAGACTAAAAAATGCATGTGTAAGGAGCTAGAGTTAAAAGTTAGTTGTGTATCCTTTGCAGGACGTTTGCTGAACCAACCCCAGGGAGCTGGAGAGTGAAGCTAAAAAGATGGGGAGGACATGGTTGGGCTGTATTGATTAGCAAAGGGTAGAACAACTTGGCTTGAGTTGGTTGACAGCCAATGCTAGGGTTAGGATTAAAACGGCAGAAGAAGAACAAATGAAAAATGCCACACCTTCCTGCATGACAGCTTTGCTTCAGATTTGCAATAAAAGGGAAGTCACACCCACATAAAACAAAAGACAGAATCAGAGATGTGTCTAGTTTTAGTTTCCCTTACAGGCTGTTATTGCTTTTCCGGATTATGGTCAAGGGTAGCCACCAGGGTGCAGCGGCTAGACACTCGCCTGCGGATCCGAAGGTCATGGATTCAAATGTTATCAGAGCTGGACTTTGTTTCTAAAATAACCTTGACTCTCAGGTTGACCCTAGCCTCAAAGGAGTACAAGGCAAAGTTCTGGGAAGTAAAGGTGGCTTGTGTGATGCTAATCACATCACCCACTGTTTGCAGATTCATCTGTAAAGTATAGAGCTAGCACTATATGTCCACTACACCTTAAGGCCTGGGACAGGGTCCTGTACTTTTAGATTACAGTCAGTCTTATGACAGTTAAGAGCAGGGAGTGGTGAACTGTTGTCAAGAAATAAATTCACTGATTTCAAGCTAACAGTGAATAACAACTGAGCAAATCAAGTTTCCGAATCAGTAAGAAATAAATTACTTATGCTATACTTAAGGCACAATTTATAGTGTAATGCATATTTTTAGTTTACAAAAAAAAATAATTCCATGCTATTTCAATGATAATATTCACATTTCAGGTTTGTGGATGAAAGTCCCAGATGGTTACTGAGTCGAGGTCGCATACAGGAGGCTGGAGAGATCATAGTAAAAGCTGCTAGTTTTAATAAAAGGCCAGTTCCAGATTTGGTTCCTTTGCAAGAATTTGTTAAGGTAACTGTTTCTTTCTCCTCAGGAATAAGTGAAAGTAGTTTGATGTACAATATAGCCGAAATGAAGACAGAAACTTCTAGATATTTGTGCATCAATTATCTAGTTTGTCTTTTGCGATGACCAGCTGTGAACTCTGGGAAAAAAGTCCTGACTGATAGTCTGTGCTCGGACTTTGGTCTTGTTCCAGGAATTGCCTTCATATCTGGTTAAATATATGTGGGCGGACTGATGGTCCCTTGCCTCTCTGGCAAATGCTCTTCAACTTTGAAGGAAAGGTCTGTTTAATCCATCTCTTATGTAAACAGAAGGAATTCATTATAAATTTGAAGTTACCCTTGTAAGTCACACGACTATCGTGAACTTCTGATGTTTAGGTGAATACAATATATCAGGAGAGACCATTTGTATTTTGCTGGAGTTTATTCAGTTTTATGCTTCATAATATGTTGATGAAGCTTTTTAGTAATGCACTTGATGAGGTACAGGGAAATATGGCTGGCAATAAATTTTGCAATGTATTGTTTGTCTGCCTTATTTAAATTCACTACAGGAAAACATTGTTTTGAAGATCCTGTCTGAGCTGGTCAGGCCCGTGTAGTGAACCTGTGTCTATTATGACCCCACTGTGAGCTACGTGTGTTTTTTGTTGGCACAGGAGCGGAGCAACTATGGGGTGACACGTTTGCTATGAAGCTGAAACTAGGATTACCAGATTACCAGTATGACCACACACAGGTGTAGATAATTTGTGACCATGATTAGCCCAGCAGCTGGTGCACTGTCTGGTGCACTGATGCCTGTGTCTAGTATGACCACACACACAGGTGTCTAGTATGACCACACACAGGTGTCTAGTATGACCACACACAGGTGTAGATAAGTTTTGACCATGATGAGCCCAGCTGCTGGAGCACTGCCTGGTGCACTGATGCCTGTGTCTAGTATGACCACACACACAGGTGTCTAGTATGACCACACACAGGTGTCTAGTATGACCACACACAGGTGTCTAGTATGACCACACACAGGTGTAGATAAGTTTTGACCATGATGAGCCCAGCTGCTGGAGCACTGCCTGGTGCACTGATGCCTGTGTCTAGTATGACCACACACACAGGTGTCTAGTATGACCGCACACAGGTGTCTAGTATGACCACACACAGGTGTCTAGTATGACCACACACAGGTGTAGATAAGTTTTGACCATGATGAGCCCAGCTGCTGGTGCACTGCCTGGTGCACTGATGCCTGTGTCTAGTATGACCACACACAGGTGTCTAGTATGACCACACACAGGTGTCTAGTATGACCACACACAGGTGTCTAGTATGACCACACACAGGTGTAGATAAGTTTTGACCATGATGAGCCCAGCTGCTTGTGCACTGCCTGGTGCACTGATGCCTGTGTCTAGTATGACCACACACACAGGTGTCTAGTATGACCACACACAGGTGTCTAGTATGACCACACACAGGTGTCTAGTATGACCACACACACAGGTATCTAGTATGACCACACACAGGTGTCTAGTATGACCACACACACAGGTGTCTAGTATGACCACACACACAGGTGTCTAGTATGACCACACACAGGTGTCTAGTATGACCACACACAGGTGTATATAAGTTTTGACCATGATGAGCCCAGCTGCTTGTGCACTGCCTGGTGCACTGATTCATCCCCCCTGAATAGATTAAATTAGTCTGTGTAATATGACATGGTTTACATCTAGTCACTCCCCATGTGGATTCCAGGGTCCCATTTTGGGGGCTGGGGAGGGGGAGAATAGACCCACTGCTCCCCCTCTCCTCCACATCTCTCTGAGAGGGAAGGAACCAACAGTTTGCATACAAATAAGCAAGATCTGCAAAATGGATCAAGACTAGTGTCTGGAAGTGAACAAACAACCAGTACTTGCTGCTGGAATTTTTCACAGCCAGTTAGCTTGAAGAAGGAGACATCTAACCATGTGTTAAATGTTATGTTAATGTCCTGTCCCTGTACTGCAGATTCTGCTGCTATGTGATAAAAAGTAAAGGTAGTCTCAGAGCCTCAGATATTGATGTTGTGGTAAAATGTTGAGCTGAGTGATGTTAAGAGCCAACATCACAGCCCTTTGGACATTCCCATAAGCACCCCATCTTCAGCAGAGAGGTCCAACTCTTATGGTACCTACCAGAGACAGTCTGATTCTGTTCCCATGTCTTTTCTCTGAGGGTTGAGTGTCAGCCACATCCCCTCATCACTTCCTCCTGCACCATTCTTGCCAGGCTGTAATGATCCATTCATGCTTAGACAATGTTCACTGCTCCCAAAGGGTCTTGATCTCATCTAGTTTGTCATGCATCGGTGTCACTACCCAGTGATGCAGTACCGACCACTTAATGATATTCTTTCTTAGTTTTATGCATTTTCTGGCATAACTTTTTAAAAAAAAAATGCTTTACACTTTTTAACTGCAAATAATTGAGTTGAGTCAAGAATTGACATCACAGCACTCGGGGCATTCCCATGTATGCTCCGTCCTCATCTTCAGCAGCAAACGCAGAATTCCAATACCAATTGTACTGGTTGTAGTCTGGTTATATGTCCGTCTTGCCTTTCACCTGAGTGTAGTGAGCTGAAAACTGTAAATACAGCTAAATTATATGCTTAGCATTTATTTATTTGTAACCAAAATGTTATTTTTATATATATTTTTAGAGAGAACAAATCAGACGAGATGAACAAAAAAAGTATTCATACTGGCATCTGTGTAGCTCTTTTCACCTTGCTATGGGTACACTCATTTGTATGTTTGGTTGGTAAGTACAGAAACATTTTTTTTATTTTGTGTGTGTTTTAGGAATGAAAGTCAGTAAGTAATCTGTAGGAACGGGAAAGCTGCAAGTATTGATAGTTTTTTAAAGGTTTCATTCAGTGTGGCAGTATCATCTGACTTTCTGCAAAGGTTTGGCTTCAAGAACTGACCTCACAACACTCAGGAATTCTCATAAGCTGCCCATCCCCATCTTCAGCAGCTGGTGAAGAGTTCCAGCTCCAGTGGATCCATTTATAGTCTGATTGAATGCTTTTCTTGCCTTTCCTCTGAGTGAGGAGTGTCGGCCAGATACCATGCTCACTCCCTGTTGCATCGTTCTCTTCAGACCCTGATAATCTAATAGTGCCTCCACAATGTTCAATCTCTCCCAAAGGGTCTTGACAAGGGTCTATCTTGATTGTCATGCATCAGGCCTCTGCTAAGGTTATTCGTAAGTAAATGTTTCCAGTTCACAAGGAGAAATGTGTTGGTCTTGACAGAAGTTACTGTAGTCCTTTTCTATCAGTTCATCTCTCAGGGTGGTGCTAATCCATCTGTTTTCAATGTCCTAATGCCTTGATTGTAGAATTTTACTTGGGCCCTAAACCAGCATTCCTTTGAGTATCAGTTCCTGATCATTCTTGTCCAGTAGTAAAGGTATCACCTTATGCCTCATCCACCATATTCATCAATCTTAACATCAGGCGACTTCATCCTGTTAGAAGACAAAAGAATTCACTTCATGGATATCATTGTTTGAATGACCAGGACTTCATTACTACACTGGAAATGTGGGTCTGGAACCAAATGGTAGAATTTTACGATCAGTTTGATCCAGTTGTGTCTTGACTCCTTCACACTAAAATACAGCACTTGTTGCAAATGTTCCTTGTGCTTCTACCTGCCGGTTTTACAACACTGATGAGATGATTTTAATTGCACTCTTGGGAATGAGCAACCACAATCCTTTGTTTTTTTATTTGTTTGTTGCGGACGGCATTCACCGCCTACCTAAGCAGTTGGATGCTTGTCTGAATGCCTACAGTGACTTTTTTCTGACCATTCTGTGGTGCAATAATTAAAAATGAATTCTTTGTTTAATTCTGCCACCCTTGCTGATGTTTCTTTCATGCTTTTGTAATAAATGCAGTGGAACGGATTTCAAATGAACACTCCTTATGCGTAACTAATTTTTCCGTGTGTACTGAAAAATAAACAAGCCAGTAGCTTGACATTGTCAGAAAAAAACAACAACTGAAGATTGATATGTAGAATTATGACTTCCAACTCTTCATGCAATCATATTTTTCTGCAGGTTCGTGTCAAGTTCTGTATATTATGGTCACAATTTCAACAGTAAAAATCTGGCAGGAGACCGCTACTTGAATGTTTTTATTTCTGGCCTGGTTGAGATCCCAGCGCTGATCTTTGTGCTTTATAGCAACAACACATGGGGCCGTCGGCGAACTGTTTTTCTCTTAATGCTGCTTTCGGGACTAGCCTGCTTTTCCATCCTTATTATTGATCTAACAGGTAAGAAGTTTACGTAATCACTTTGCATTGGTTATCATATGTTCTTTGCTTTGCTGTTGTTATTAGTGTTAAGAAGTAATTATATTCACTTTTTTCATCTTAATTCTTTATTGTTGGAGTAATAAGAGCATAGTGTACAAACCAGCTCCAAAATTGTTTGAAGTTCAGCTCATAGTTGAATATTTTGCCCTGTTCACGTGGGTGTTTGTGGCGTGTCCGTCTCACTCTCAGTCTGTTTTTGTGTGTCTATTTAAGAGTTTGCCTTTTTACGTCTGTCTGTCTCTGTCTTGTGTGTATGCTTATGTTTATATTTGTGTGTACGTGCTGGTAAGTTGGTGGGGGGGTTAATTCAAAACCACGGCCTTTGCACTAACATGCAAGGTATGCACAACTTAGCTCCCACGGTTGGAAAATAAACACAGATTGTAACCATGAAAAAAAAGATCTCCTCAATCATTTGGACAGAAGAGACCTAGTCATAATTTTGTTTCTTTCACACCGAACACTGCAGACTCAACAAACATTCATATCAATCAAGTATGAGCCAGGCAACTTTATGCCACTGTCTTCTTGCAGAACAGACCCGGTGCAATGTGTCTCTGTCTAGGGTTTGATTGAACTTGTCACATTGCTATACTGACGTTCTTAGTTACATAAAGTTACTATGAATACACCAGACGACGAACATGGTTATTGTTCTTTATTCGCTGTTCCAACAACCGCACTGTCAAGTCGCTCACTTGTGTTCTCGTGGGTGCTACGCATGGCTGGTTTGTGACATTTCCAACTATCTCACACTGTGATTCTCTCTGCCATTACCTTTCGGATCATACATCTGGATCAGGCTAACATCTTGTTCCTTGTACCTGTACACAACCGAAACTTGAAGTCAGTAGACATTCATTTTTGCTCTCGAACAATTACACGTGGGCATTCTTCTCAGCTGTCTCTCACATTCGACCGCACACATCCAGGTCCAAACTTCAACTGACTACCTGTCCTCTCTGGGTTCACACCTTCCGTTCAAGTCTCATACTTTCCTTGTACTTCTGTTCACCCACCACGTGATACTCGAGACATGCTTTCCACACTTTCGTCTTGTTTCACTGATCCTCTGACCTTATCTCCCAAATCGGGAACTCTCTGGGATTTCCCTGGGAATTCACAACATTACACCCGGGAACATGTCTCGCGAGACTCTTCTCCTGGAGAAGCTGCGAAGAAATATGTGGCCACACCCAGGCAGTATACATGACAGCTAATCTTTGGGGAAACCTGAGAGACCTCGATATCACATCCCAGTTTATGGCCCATAGTGGGTTAACTGCATGACCAGACAACACTGATGAAGAAGGAGGCAGCTCCCACAGAATACATGGTTTTGGAGAAACAGGATTGTCAGTGTGGCATTGCATTGCACATGATGCTGTGTAGACCTGCAAGCTTGTGTGACAGCACAGTATTGTACTTGTCAAAGTAGCTTGATGCTTTTATTGAAGTGAATTTTGTTAAATCTAGTTGACACTGCCTCAGTCCACTTGAACTTTCAGACAGGTTGAAGGAACTGTCAGCTTTGACTATCACAATGGCCATGATCGGCAAGTCTTGCATAGCTGGTGCCTGGGCAGCTGTTCAGATCCTTTCAGCTGAAACCTTTCCCACGGTCATCAGGTATGTCTGAACGAGAGAGAGAGTGTGTGAGAAAGAGAGTGTGTGTGTGAGAGAGAGAAAAATAATTCTTTTTCTTATAGTCTATACAGTGCGGACTTGGAAATCATGTCTATCGACAGCCTTCTGTTTTGTGTAATTTCCATCATTTCTGACACAAATGATCTTCCATGCCATGTCAAATTTCCATCATCTCCACTCTCGTTCTCTCTCTGCCTCCTTTCCCCTTTAACTTTCCCACTGCCATGAGTTTCCCACTGCTCAAGTTTTCTCCTTCTCATGTTGTGATCAAAGAATATAGACTGTCTCCATCTGATACAATGATCACTTCTCTACATTAGTTAATTTCCTTCTAGACATATTCATTACTCTGTTTATCTGTCCATGGAAATAATTATCCTCATTTTTTATGTGATTAGTAATATTTATTTGATAGAGCAAAATGAATATTTCAAGAATAATAAAACACTACTGTTTAATAGAAATTATGTCTGCCAATTTTACATAAGAAGGTTTCACAATAATGGGGATTGACACTGGTCAACACTGAGAAGAAAGGCAAGAGATACATGTAATCAGACTGCAACTGATACTTGTAGAATTGAAATTCTGCGCAGGCTGCTAAAAATGGGGACTCGGCACTTATGGGAATGTTACAGGTACTGTGATACCAGCGCTTAACTCAGCACAACTTAACAGCTCATTGCCATACATCGGCTACATAATTGATGTTGATGTATTGATAAACAGACATATTACGGCTTTATGGAACTGCCAGCAAGCTTAATAAACAGTCCATTCCTGGAAAGACTTAGTTAAACAAGTTTGTGAGCATACATGTTACAAGATCACATGAGAGAAAATAATCAGTTGTAATCCATGACCAATTGTTTCCTGTACAGAAACATCGGTATTGGTGCATGCTCCATGGCAGCAAGAATAGGTGGGATAGTAGCCCCACAGTTTGTGTTTATGGTGAGTTTGTTGTTTTTGTGTGTGTTGTAGTAGGACACACAGTTAAATGTGGGCTATTTAAATTGGTTCTTTTTCTAGATCTAAAGTAATTAAGTTTTTACAAATAAAAAAAAAATAACACTGGGGGGGGGGGGGGGGGGGGGGGGGGGGGGGGGGGGGGGGGGGGGGGGGGGGGGGGGGGGGGGGGGGACCCTAGACCTTAGTTAATTTTTCTTGTTTTTCTTTATTCGCCGGCTGTAAGTTTTGGCGAAAAGTCCTGGTTGTTTGTCCAATTGGACTTTGGCTGTGCCAGGCCTGAATTTTTTGTATACATCTGTTTTACTGGCTTATTTGTGTGCAGTTAGTTGTTCCTTGCCGCTCGGGCAGATGGAGTATATTCATCTTCCTTCAAAGTAAGTCCCTAAATAGTCACACAACATACTTGTTGGGGAGGTAGTGGGTCTCTTCTTGTTTTCCAATGAGGTCTCGGAGCCTTATTTCGTTAAAACCCTTACAAGTTAGCAAGTATAATAGATGATCTCTTTTTCCTCTCTGTCTCTGTTTCTGCTGTCTATTTGTTTCTTCTGCAGTCCAGTTGTCCTCATCTTGCTGACCTTGTCTCATGCTTTCTTCATTTGCCTGTTCTGTTTCCTTTCTGTCTCTATCATTTATGTCTACCTCCTCATTGAGCATTTGTTTCTTCTCTTTATGTTTCCTTTATATACCTCTTGCTCCGCCACTCTCTTCTCATTTTACTCCTAATTTTTTTAATGCTAATGAGAAAGTTTACATTTACATTTTTAGTGTTACAAAAACTTAAGGCTAAATTTAAAATGTGAAACTAAATTAAAAATATTGAGACTAAATTCAAAATATTGAGACTAAATTCAAAATATTGAGACTAAATTCAAAATATTGAGACTAAATTCAAAATATTGAGACTAAATTCAAAATATTGAGACTAAATTAAAAATATTGAGACTAAATTCAAAATATTGAGACTAAATTCAAAATATTGAGACTAAATTAAAAATATTGAGACTAAATTAAAAATATTGAGACTAAATTCAAAATATTGAGACTAAATTCAAAATATTGAGACTAAATTAAAAAAATTGAGACTAAATTAAAAATATTGAGACTAAATTCAAAATAAGGTCATACAGGAAAGCAGGCTCGTCTTTACAGTTAAAAAAAAAAAGCAACACTTTTATCGTTTGGCTAATTTTGAATGAATTCAACAGTTATAAAGTTGTATACATGTTGATGAGTTTCAGCTTTGTATCATCATTTAATGTTTGTCACCTTCAACAGGGTGAGAAATCCAAGCCGGTGCCCTTTGTCATATTTGGTGTGCTAGCAGTATTGTGCAGTCTGCTGATGTTGTTGCTGACAGAGACGGTAGGGAGACCACTGCCAGACAGACTGCACTCAGAGACAGAGAACAACTTGTCTGCCTCTCTGCAGTGTGAGATACTGGTCACAGACACCAGCAAGACAGACAGAATATCTCACCCTGCAGGCAATGGTTTCAACAGAACAGACAGTGCAGAGCTGAAAACTTTGCAACATACCGACTCTCTGTAATTGTCTGCATGACATCCACTACATTCACCAAAGTGCAGTGTTTACCTAAGTGCATTTTCAGGTCTGTTGTCACTTAAGAATATGATAAATGTACACATGTGAATTCTTACTCCATAAAGGTCAAAATAAAGTTATACTTCACACTACAGTAATTTATTGTAGCAATTAATAGCAAGTTTATAGTGGTTAAAGCATGGAGTAGATGGCCTCACCTTTAACACTAAATGCCGGGCAGACGAAGCTCTCATCGGCTGGAGGCAGCAGTCCCATCTGGGGACTGAGCGGTCTTGAGGCATGGCGTCAGCTTCGAGTGCTAGCGGTTTGGGGTTCAAACCTCAGTGAAGGCTGGGTATAAAAAACCCATTGGTTTTGGGAAATCAAAAAGAGTTGCCTAACAGTGATGCCTGGACAAAATTTGGAGTTAAAAATCTACTCAAAGTATTTCAGGATTCTCACCGGTGCTACAGAGTTCATGCACTGCGCTGAGATTCTTCTGACTCAGGCTTGAGTTAGAAGTAGAACAGAGCATTTATTTGTTACTACCTATGTGCCAGGAAGTTGATCCGTTGTAAAAACTAGACTGAACCAAAGTCCATCTAAAGTAGCTCAACTTAACAGAAAAGCACATTAACGTCAAAGGTGACAGGCCAATGAACATATACAAGAAAAAAACTAACAGACTACACAGCACGGCAGAAATGATTTGACTGAGAATAAATACAAAGAAAACTAAGATCATGACAAGCAGTCCAAACCAACAACCAGTGACCATAAATAACCAAACTCTTGAAAATTTAGAACATTTCACATATCTTGTCAGTGTGGTGTCCCTGCCGGGAGGGACCAAAGAGGACATACAGTCACGTCTGAACAAAGCTAGAACTGCTTTTGGAAGGATGAGGCAAATCTGGAATCCAACAATTACTGCAGAGGAACGAAACTCCGACTCTACAAGAGCATCATTTTGCCAGTTCTTCTTTATAGAGCGGAATGCTGGAGAATGATCTAAAAGGATGCACACAAGCTGTCCACCTTCCACCACACATGTCTACGTAGAATTATCAAAATTGTCTGGCCAGAAACAATCTCAAACACTAAACTACTTCAAGTCACAAACCAAGAAACTTTAGACAATATGATAACCAAGAGAAGATGGAAATGGCTTGGCCACGTTATGAAAATGAATCCTGATACACCTGCCAAAACAGCTCTCACATGGACACCAGAGGGAAAGAGAAAATAGGGGCGCCAAAAAACAACATGGAGACGAACGATGGAAAGTGACCTGAGTGCGGCATCTTTGACATGGAAAACTGCACTGAAGATTGCACAGGACAGGAAAGCATGGAAAGTCCTCTCTGAAGCCTCATGTGCCACTAGGCGCAACGAGAACTGATGATGACAGGCCAATGCAGATAGACCACACAATTCTTCCCTGTAATGCTATGACTGAAACAGCCTTCATAAAGAAAGGCCTGTGGCTTTCTCATCTGAAAACCACTGGCAGGGAGAGGACAAGAAGAGAAACAGCTGTACAGATTTTCAGAGATTTTTTTAAAAACAAAGATTAAGCACTTAGTAGACTAGCGTAATGCCAGTGACAACTGCAGGCATATGTTTTGGTACTACAGCACACTGCAACAGTATTAAGTTTTTCTTGTTAAGAGCTGTGGTAATAATTTATAGTTTATGACAGTGATAAAATATTTGACAATTTTAAATGAAATTATGTTTTTAAATATGAAAAATCACTTACAATGGTTTTACAATAGGGCACTTTTATGTCTATTATTTATACAAATTAATTATTGTCAAGTGAAGTCTTTAGAATATAAGACACAATTGTATGTAGTGTGATTGGCTGTAGTAAGGAAAGAATATGTATGTGACCATAATGATAGAAATGCTCATAATTAAACTATTTGAGACTTTCCTAGTCTTGACAGAAATGAGGCTGTATGTAAATATTTATGTCATATACCTAAACAAGACAATATTTGTTCCCCCTACACTCCCAGATAAAGAGGAGTCACAGAAAAAAAAAGAAAGAAAACACCATTATTTTTGTGTGTCTTCCATTGGAGTATATGCCTTACCAACTTGTGCCAAGCTAATTGTAGGCTTGTTGAATGATTTGTTGAATTTTGTGGCTGAAAGATTTATGTGGGATGAATTAACCTGTCTTAGACAATTCGGCTCTCCTTTGACCCGTTCCCAAAATGGCGGCTTTAATATGATGGCGTTCAAAAGGGAGCTAAATTGGCCAATTTCTGGCCATAAAATATATAAAAATATCCGAATGCGTCAGTTCTATTAAATATATATGTGCCGGCTCTGGATAACGAAACAAATGGCTCTGACAGGGTCTCTGCGATACGGCGTTACTTGCCGACCTGCGAGTGTGCCTCACCGCCGACCGCATCCCCCGCGCCGCTACGCGCGGATGGGGACTAAACTAGATGGCTGGGATTCACGAGCGACAGCTACCGCATCTCCTGCAACTTCCTCCAATTACTGTACTCGTGAGTCCCAGGCACCTAGTTTAGTCCCCAATCCCGCGTTTTGCGCATGCTGAAAAAGTGTGAGGATAAAAAAGGAAGAGAAAAAAACTTACCCGTTATTAACGTATTGGCCTGTGGGTAGCGAGCCATTGCAACCATACCAGTTTATCCCTCATTAGTCCATACAGGTCGGCAGGTCCGACATCTACCGCTGCTGGTAAATCCTCTATAGCTACAACAGTATCGCTAATATATGTTCGAGCCGTGCACGGTCTACCTGCCATATCGTCTGTACTGTCTCGAAATTGGTCAACGGTCGCTTTTATTGTCTGCTACTATCGTCTGCAGAAACTCTCAAATTTATCGTCTGCTGCTCTTATCGTCTGCTGCTAAAAAATAGCACCAAAATAGGATACAAATGGTTTGAGGAAGTCAGTTTGTACAAGAGATACATTACAGCCAACTTTGATAAGAAAGGCCCCTTACATGTCAGACTAGAAGGAATTGCTAGAAAATAATGGAACAGATGAATCAGCTGTAGTCCTTATGTGAAACATAAATGGCAAAACAGAATGTTTGTGATGGTATCAAAAACGGTAAACATTTTCAGAAGTATATTGAATTAACAGGCTGTATTTAAAATAAACTATTCTGCATGTGTTTGTTTGCTGTGAAATTTATGCATCAGCACTTTTAACTCCTACATGAATGGATTGAAGTATTACTGCTATATATCCCTAGGACATATCTTTTGGTGAAATTTAGTTTTGTGAATTTACGTGTGTAAATTTCTTTGATTGACTCCATAAATAAATATATATATTGTGTGCGTGCATGTTTTTTGTGTTTAAAAAAAAAATCATATTGTGTCATTTGGTTTGAGTGACCACTGTTTGCATTTTTTAATGAACTCAGAATCTCGTTTGATATCAGGAAACATTCATTCCATAGATACATGTGTGTGTCCCTGATCGTCTCACAGATCTTAACCAACTATCAGTTATATTTACAATTAAACCTAATATATTTTTCTAAAAACTTTTCAGATCATCAGATCTGATATACTACAGATTGTTATGCAGTTTTTTTTTTTGGTTAAACATTTATGTAAATTTTTCATTTTTTTGTGACATTATGGAAGAGTCTAGGTTAGAATATAAAAACCTTCATGTTTAATTTTTTACTTCTAATGTAATGTTATTTGCTTTAATATCATTGTTTCTTATGTAATTATTCCGTTATTTTCAGTCTTCTGTTCTTGTTTCCTGCATAAAAAAGTTCTTTGAAAATTATAATTTGTTGAAACTTTACAGAATTAATTGAAGGACCTTTTCCAAACTCCTGAGGAGCATTGTTAGGCATCTGTGGCTTAGGAGTTGTGAACACACTTTGTAGTTTCGAAATAGCCAGTCCAGACCAGCTGCAGGCTATTTACCAGCTGACCGCTTTACATTGATTTCCAACAAAGGTATAGAGCAGTGGTTTTTCAACCTTCCTAATGCTGCGACACTTTAATACAGTTCCTCATATTGTAGCGACACCCCCAGCCATGAAATTATTTTCGTTGCTACTTCATAACTTCAGTGAATATGTATTTTACGATGGTCTTAGATGACCTCTGTGAAAGGGTAATTCAACCTCCAAAAGGGTCGCGGCCTACAGGTTGAGAACTGCTGGTATGGAGCCCGTCAGCAATGACTTTAGAATCAGTGGCAAACTACTAAACATAAAATTGCCTAGTAAAATTACAAACAACCAGACAGTTCTGGAGCTGGTTCAGCATTGTCAAGGATAGGCAACTTACTGTATTTGTGTGTCTATAAGACAATGTTTTCCCAATTTTTAAATTTTTTTTTAACTTTAAATTTGGGAGTCGTCTTATACACAGAATGTGTTTAAAATGTTTCTTAATTTTGGGCTAAAATTTAGGGGTGGTCTTATACAACAGGGCGTCTTATACCTGGAAAAAAATACTGTGCTCTTTGTTGTTGTTGAGAAGCATATGGTGCTAGCCCATATTGTTATACACATTTCTATGACACTTTTCAAAATAGCTAACAATGAAAAGTAGACACAACTGTAGACTCAAAAAGATGATCCTTTTTGTTGTCTGCAATCACAACTATACCATCTGCATATCTTATATTGCTGATGCTATGTACATGGTTTATCTTGTCTTTTTGTCACATGTTCACTGTCATTATCTCTATTTTGTGCACTTTATTGTAGGGATTGATAAAGAATTATGCTAAACCAGTTTATTTAGAAGGATTCTAGTTATGTACATGTGTGATTGTTGAAAGCGATATGTTACTTTTCATGGTTGTAGTTTGTGGCTGAAGTGTGACAGTGATTAGAATTGCATGCTAAGCTAGGTAATAGATAAGACTTCTTTTCCTATGTGTGTCTTTTTGTGTGTGACACTATGAGGAGACAACATTCAGTGTATTTTAGCTGGTTTTTCTGAGTTTGATCTCTTTTTATCCTAGTGAATGATCT